GAACTTCTCATCCGATCTCTAAGGGAGAGTCCAGCCACCCTTTGGTCGAAGCTCATATGTGCCACTTATATCCACAATCTCAGTCTTTCTGTCATGAGCCAAAGCTTGTGGCCATAGGGGAGAGTAGGAACACAGATCTCACCAGTGCCTTTACACTCAGCTCTCTGTTCACCACACTGGTCCACGCTACTGAAGATGCAGCTCTAATCCATCTGTCAAGCTCTTGCTCCCCTCTTACCTCACAAGACCCCAAGACAACTTAAGCTCCTCCACTTGGGGCAGCAACTCATCCCTGGCCCAGAGCGGGCACTCCACCATTTTTGGGTTGAGAACCACAGTCTTTGACTTGGAGGTGCAAATTCTCTTTCCTGGTTCTTATTTTCGCTTACCTGTAAACTGCTTCAGTGTAAGCTGGAGGCCACTGCCTGATGAAACCAACAGAACCTCATCATCCACAAACAGCAGAGAGGTCTCTGAGTGGCCCTGAGAAATGCTGTCCATAAAATGATGAACAGAATCAGAGACAAAGGACAGCCCTGGCAAAGTCCAGCATCCACCGGGAAAGAGTCCAACTTATTGCCGGCGATGCAGACAAAGCTCTCGATGCAGTTTCTACAGAGACCAAATGAGAAAATATAGAATTCAGTATTTCTCCACCGGGGCTTTATTCCTGGCAGCACAGCTGAGCCTTTGAAGGAAAGTACTGCTCCAGTAATTCTACATGTGTGAGGAAATAACTCAAACACATGGTCCACTCAGTAGCTTCTGCTTGATCTCTGAACTGCATCTCACAGCCCATTTTATCAGCGTCTCACACTTCATTTCATGGGTCAGTCACTTCTTGGAAAGTTTTCTGGCCACATTTATGTAACACTGGTGCTATTTCGAGGAAAACCGACAATGATGCAGTTATTCAGAGTTAAGTTTGGCACATGGAGCTGACAGAATATGCATCAGCTGATATCAGCAGAAATCTTCCCAAGAGAACTGCTTCCACTTGCATAAAATCAATTGTGAATAAATAAATGCATTAAATAAAAAGGTAAGTAATTTAAAAAAAATTAAAGCCAGTATTGCTAAAATCTTTCCAACAGCCCTGAATGACAGTATTAAAATGCACCTATACTAAAACAATGTTCTTTTTAGGCCAAATAAAGAGTAGCAGAAGAAGAAGAAAGTCCCACATGCCAGACATCATTTTGTAAATGTCATTGTCATCATTTTAAAAATGGCTGAGCTTCACAGTTACACTCGTCAAGGACGGGTCCAGGGAGGCATGAAAATGACAAGAAAACAAGTCCGACTGCAAGAAACAAGAAAACAATCCTAAATAGACTAAAGAGTGTGCAGAGGAATGAATGTGAACACAGGACGCATGGCAGAGGCCCAGAGAATAATGATGTGATGCCAGACTTCAAATAACATCTGGAGCTGGCAGAGCACCAGCAAACCAAGCATTCAGAAGGATAAATAATGAGGAGTGTGGGCAGGCAGGCACATTATCATGTTAGAGCTGATCTGAGAAACAATATAGAGAGAGGCATGAGGTTAGGGTAAAAACACCTAGAGCTGACCTGCTCCTGAAGCACCGCAGAGAAATACGTGGACAGACAAACATCTCAGTGACATGACCATTGAATCTCAACTCCCTATTCTAATAAATCAGCCTCTCACTAACCACATGAGCAAAACTGAGGTCCAGTTCTATTTCATACAAGCAGCGCGTTCTGCACCCACAGGAAGTTTGTTCACAGCAGCTTATTATGTCTGCAAATCTGGCAGTGAAAGCAAAGATATAAGTCATAACATTAATCATGGCTTTGTTCCATAACAACGTGAGAGTTTACATGGATAACAGAAGGGACTGAAGCAACTACAGACATGTGAAAAAATGAGTACACCTTGTGGTTTAGTAGCTTGTAGAACCTCATTTAGCAGCAATAACCTGACGTAATAATTTCCTGCATGCCTTTATGAGTCTCTCACATTGTTGTGCTGGGATTTTGGCCCAGTCTTTTTTACAGTGTGCTTTCGTTGTATTGAAGTTTGCAGTGATTCATTCATGCACAGCTCTCTTAAGGTCCCACCACAGCAGTCTGGACCTCGACTGTGTTTGGGGTCATCGTCCTGTTGCATGACCCAGTTTCAGCCAAGCGTAGCAGTAGCAGCTCTTTAGCTGTCAGACTGATGACCTCACATTTGACTCTAGAATATTTTGGTATACAGAGGAGTTCATGGCTGACTCTGTTAGTGGGTGATGTCCAGGTCCTGTGGCTGCAAAACAAGCCCAAAACATCACCTCTCCAACATTGTGCCTACAGCTGATATGAGGTGTTTGGTTTCCTCTAAATTTAGTGGTGTGAAACAAACATCTGTACTGTCATGACTTTTATAGATAACTGAGGCCTGTTGACTCTGAGATAGAGAGTTTTTTTTACATGGTCTGACGTTGGGGTGAATTTGCTGTGACATCTAGTCTCCTGGGAGGATTGTAGCATTGTGCGTTAATATGCCAATGCTACATTAACACAATGTCAGTTAGTGCAGGTAGTTTCATTAGTGATTCTAAATTACCCATAGGTGTGAGTGGTTGTTTTGTCTGTGTTAGCCCTGCCTTAGACTGACAAACTGTCAGGGGTGTACCCCGCCTCTTGCACTATGGTAGCTGCTTCCCCTCTCCTGGGACCCTGATAAGGATAAGCTAAAGATAATGAATGGATGGATGGATGGTACAGCATATGTAAACAAAATAAAAATTGGGCTTAAAAAAAGCGTATACGACCAACAGTATCAAAGCATATATAATTAAAATTCAGGACAAGAGTTTTGTGGCACAATGGTGCAATGGTTAGCCCTCTTGCCTCGCCGCAGGACGGTATGTGGTTGAAACCTTCTGCTCGACCCAGGTCTGCCTGTGTGGACTTTGCTTGTTATCCCTGTCCCTGTGTGGGCTTCCTCTGGGCACCCCTGCTTCCTCCCACAGTCCACTTTGCTCGTTAGGTTAATAGATGATTCTAAAGTGGCCGTAGGTGTAGACGTGATCCTGTGTGGTTGCCTGACATGTCTCTTTCCATTAACCCTGTATCAGACTGGTGACTTACTAAAATTTTATTAGCATTTAATCAAGCTCTTTCCATTTTTTTTTTTGCCTGGTTTATTATCAATGTCAAAATAATGTAGGCTAATGCTTTATTGTATTACAACGGGGAAAATCTGGCAACATGCCAGATGCTTTGTCACCCCCCCAATCCACATACTGAGCATATCAAGTAATAGTCCTTATAGTTAGGTAGTTATAGGTATCCAGATAGTTAGTTAGTTTCCTATGGCCACATAAAGACACAGTTATAGTTAGTTAGTGATGTGATATAAGTTCTACATTCAGTTTAAACACAGTTCAAGTTGTCAAATGTCAGTTTAGTAAGTTAAACATGTTTATTATTATTATTTTATTTTATTGCTTCACATATGTAAAATATTACATCATTCATTAGATACAGAGGAAGGTAAATGTTGTTCAAAGTCACACATAAAGAACCAGAACCAAATGTTCACCTGTTTCAGAAAACTTCTGGAGCTTTTTGGCCATGTCGGCGACATAAAGCGCGGACTCTGGCGCCACCTGGCGGCCATTAGCAGAACCACACACCTTCACCTGTAAGAAGAAAAAAAAAGAAAAAAAGATGGATGCAGCAGTCCAGAAATAGCTCTCACAAAAAAGCGCACAGTGCGTCAAAGTCCAGTTCCGGTTATGTGACGCTTCTCACAGCTTCTCCCATGGTCACACACACGCAGTTTTATAAAGAGCTGTGTTATTTCTGATCGTTTAGTCTCTGTGGGAAAATGCAAATTGTTTCAATTAGCATTTTCAGGACCTTTGTGCGCTTTCTCTTCCACCTGAACAGCGCGTTATATACTCAAGGGCTTCATTAGGGGAACAGAAGTGGGATGATTCGCTGCCTTTCTGCAGTAAAAAGTCTGTTTATAATATTTTTACGCTATTTTCTTGGTTATATCACAGATTTAAAAACGTGCCTTGTGTCCCCTAAAAGACAAATGATTTCGTCTTTTATAGTTTGCACTGGTGCTGTCTCCTTCTTGGAGTGCATCAACCTCATGAGAACATTACAAAAGGCTTAAAGTTTTGTGAGGCTCCTGCATGATTACACGGGAAACGCCCTTTATTAAATATCGTGTCCACTATGTCAAAAAAAAAAGGGAAAAAAAAGTGGATTTACAAGCAGAATATTTTCCCTGGCATGGTGTGATTTGGATTGGTGTGAGTGAGTGAGTGTCAGAGTCAGGGAGGCGGGAGGGGGGGCACACAGTGTGTCTCTGCTGTGACTGTGTATCACTTCAGATGCTCAGACAGAATTAAAAATGCGCTCCTCCGCCTTGTCGCCGGTGTTGTGCGCATTTTCTTGACAAGCCCGTGTTCCCACAGCATGGTGCTCGGACTCGGAGGCTCGGCACCCTCTTCGTACATAACCATCAAACTCTCGCGGACGCTTAATTAAGACAGCAGACTGCGCACAGCGCCCGCAGCACCTGTTCCCACCTTCAGATAGAAGGTAAGTTTGTTTTTGGTTTTTTTGGAATCGAAATTTGCGTTAAAAAGAAAAAAGAAAAAGGGAGACAGGTGTGACTGGCTGTGAAGATGCATAAAAATAAATAAATAAAAATAAGCCTGCGCGAAGTTGGAAAAAAAAAGGAAGAGGTAGTTCCTGGAGAGTTGGCACATGCAGCACAGCTCCAGGCTCCAGTAGCTGTATTAATATTTTCTCCTCCCTTTTGAAGGTCCCCTTTCTCTTCTCAAGTTCAAAGCGCGTCGGCGTTTGTTGTTTAACGTAGTTTCCGGTCAGCAGGGGACGTCTCGGTAAACAATGCAGCTCGGTGATTCACGCGTGTGCGTCCCCTCGACATTAAAGTTTGTGCCAATTAATCAATTAGCGATTAGGACGGTCGGAAAGCGTTGGTGCAGGGGGGCGGGTGGGAGTGAGGCTGACGCACGACCCAAAGCTCAAAGTGGAGGTTTCATGAAATTAATATGGATGTTTTTTACATGATAATAACAGTTTGGGTCTAGGTGTTCATTATTCTCAGCCACAGGTCTGCACTGTGTACTTGGGCTGTTCCTCCTTCAACTTTACTGATGGTTTTTCCTTCTGTCTCTCAGTGGTTGTGCTGCAGATTTGTCTGTGTACAGCCTGAAGATTTCAAATTACCATATTACCTCAGACAAGCAGAAGTTCAGGGCGTTTTTTCCCCCAGATTTCCTCCAGCACCTAATCAAACCAGCCACCCACGAGAAGTAATGCAAATTTTCATCTCTGCAGGTTTTGGAGGTGAACTAATGACCATCCATCCACCCATCCATCCGCCTGGCTTTCTTTTCTTTTCTTTTCTTTTTTTTGGTTGAACTGCACCTTCACGAGGCATGCCAATGTTCAATTAGCCACTCAGACTTTTATTTTTGAAGTATCTTGATCTCCTGTCTCCCCTCAGAGGGCAAAGTGAATGTAATCTCACACCAATGGACTGTTACATAACTTTAAAACTGAAGTGCCATCCTGCCTGCGTAGGAGTAGATGTGATGTTCCCACTTCCTCGCTGTTGTTTTGCTCGTTAATTCTGAGAGGCGCATTACTGTAAGTGGCGTTTTGTGACTTTACATGACTGCTGTTTTTTTTTTTTAAATATAGTTTTTATTTATTCATTTTTTAAGACCCCCCACCCTTCTTTTAAATGCAGATGCAGATGAGGCCACGAGCATTACTGATTGCTTTGCGAGTCGTTGCTGTGATTATGCCGTCCTACCTACAAGAAGTCTGTGATTGCTGAATGGTGGACTGACATGTTGATTTTGACCAAATGTGTGCGTATATATTTATGTGTGTGTAGGGGGAGGGGGGCTGCTTTCTGCCCTGTGTTGTGTAGGAGGAGTGCGATCGCAGAGTGCCCAGGCATGACGCTCAGAGCTGTTGGACAGAGTTCAGTCCTTTGCTGAGCAGCCTGTCCTCTGTGCTGGAAACGGTGCGCAGACAGACACATTACAGTAACCTGACTCATGTATATGGCAGGCTTCCCCTCTTCACTGCTAAGAAATTGTGGCATCACCTTGAAACACAAGAGAGAAAAAACAGAAAAAAAGTGCTCACTCCTAAAGCAAACGTCCACCATTTTGAAAAGTCTGGCAGATATATAAGGATTGCTGGCACAGGAGACAGTTTCTCCGCTGAGAGCAGTTTCTTACTCTTCAGTTAGAGGCTATTTTGGGCACTGAATCAAAACTTTATTAAAGATGTAATTAGTTTTTTGTTTTTTTTAGATAACAACCATTTCCCATCAGTGTGTCCCAGCAGTATAATCAAGTTAAGCTGCACTAACTTAGGATGTAAGACGCTCGCTTTCCAATGCGAACGCCTTCTCCAGTCAGCTTAAGTCAGATTAATTTAAATGCACAGTAGGGCAGGGCAGCACTTTACAGGAAAACAAATTGTCAGTAGCACCCAATGCTTCAAACAATGTGATACGAGTAAAAAAAATTGCATTTTTTGTAAGCATATGCAAAAAGGGGAAAATACATACTCCTTCTTATCCAACCACGGTCGTGACGGTGCTGCTGGAGCTGTTGTTTTTATTGGAGAGGTGAGGTATCACCATGAATAGGTCGCCACCCCAACACCCTCAGGTCTTAACAGAGAGAACTTAAAGCACAATCATTTTTGTATGGAAACAGCAGATGTTTATGATAATATCTCCCTGGTATGGTTGCTGGTATAGCTCTCTGTTTATAGCTTCATATTAACCACAATAACAATAAACAGACACACAAACAAAAACACAGCTTCCAATCTCTTCTTAATAATTAGTGCCAATCATTTCTAGAAAAAACATCTTTTTTTGCATCCATAAGCTCGAAGTTTCAATGGATCTTCTCAGAAGCTTGAGTCCCAATTTCCAGGTATTATCTCAAAACTTTGACTTGCTAACGCAAAACGTCTGAGTAAAAACTTGAAATTAGATAATAACCTTAAATTATGACTTACAGATGCCAAAAAGTGTTTTAGAAACGGTGGCAGAAACAAACTTCAAGTGAGAGTGGTCTACCGGTGGTCGAAACACGTCTTTAATGATGTCATTGATCTTTATCGGTGTCAGTACTTCTCATTAAGGGTAGAGGGGAGGTCCCCAGATGTCGTCTTTATCAGTTAAGAATGATTGCTGCATTCGTAACGTTATGGTAAAGCTTCGCCTGCATCTAAAGAGGCAGCAGAAAATAACACACCTACATAACCACTTGAAAGAAACCATCACAGAAGTGATCACTTTTGTCGTACTGCACACGTGCACTCCTCTAACTCGCAAGCAAATATGTAGTATTAACAAGTAAAAGGTCACGGACACGTCACAAATTAAAGAGTGCCTTTTGTATGATAAAAGATATATCCCCAAATTACCACCTCTATTGGTTTTAAGGTTGAAATTAATCAGTTCCAACTCAACAAGTTATTGACAGATGGAGCTCTGAAAAACAACACTCTGCGTTCGAAGTACAAATACTCCAAAATCGATAAGACATGATGTGATCAGAAGCTCTGCACCGCCTCATATTCATTACCTCCTGGTTAAGACCACAGATCCCACCCTGTCTCCTCACTGTTAGGGTACCGCATGCACCACAGCACTGATGGAGTGGATGTAAAACAGCAGGATTTGGAGGATATCGTTTGGTTACTGTTTCATGCAGTGTAATTAAATTAGGAAGTGTGTTGTTATAGTCCTAATATAGGTGTGTTTCTTAGGCAACCTGACAGCTTTTCCCCTCATGTTTGAGCACGTCTGGTGGATAAATGCTCCAAGGTAGATGTTCAAGACGAGAGGTTTACGGCTTACGTACACTGACTCAACAAAACATCACAAAGTAAAAGATTTGAATTTGGTTTACGGATTAAAGACGACGAGTTTGCTAAATCTGACTCCTTAAATATGTCAAAAAACATATAGTTGACTGTTTTATTTTTACGTTTATTGTGACAGCACTTTAAAAAAAATCAGTAGGGGTTGTTTAATAGAGCAGAACTTGAAAACCAACAGATCTGGTTTGTCGTCCTCCTTCCCTGGCTTCTTCAGAGAGATTACAGTATTAATGCAGGCTTTTGTCCTCTTGTGGTCACTCTAACACAATCTGAAAATGAAAGATGAAAGTGATCCCTCGTTGTCGTTGTCAAGTCCGCGCTCGTGAGATTAAACCCACGGTAGATATCGCAGGAAAGCCGGGGAATTTAAATACTAACCAAATGTATGGACGCACATACACGCACTAAAGTCTTATCAGCAAACTAATAGTTTAGGAAACATTTTTAGTCCTAACTCTAACATGATCGTCTAGTTTGAGGTTTCTTTGGAGGAAAGTGTTTGATAGAATAAAACTAAACTTTAAAGTTCCTAATCAAAGTCTTAAAAAGCTGCTAAAACTGATATTAGCACAAAGTCTACGAGATGCTATATCTACTCAATCAATATCTTCTCCAAAGACCCCTGACAAAACGCAACTTTTAGAGATATTATTCACTCCCGCTTATGGAAAAACCTCTGACATTACCTAACAGTCCTTTACAAAAATACCATTTTGTATGAAGAGCTCCTCATGCGTCATTAGTTACACTGTGAATCACGCAGTCATGCAGAGGTCAAGCAACACCAGAAAAAAGGAGGAACTGCGATGCTGAAAAGACTTTTGTTAAGGGTATGGATCCTATTGTTTCCAAGCACATTTTGGATCACAGCTTTAACCGCAGTCGGGATAAAGAGAGATTAAGAAGGAGAGGAGAGGTGTTTCGCCTTGTTTTTGCTGAAAGCGGTGTGAGAAAATCTGGCAGTCGCGTGGTGAGATTCCAGTTGTTATGTGTTTTTGAGAAGTGACAACGGCAAAGTGACAGCATCTTGAAGAAAGTTGGTTTCCAGTTTTCGTGGGAGACAAGTGAATGTGGCCGGGCTGTTATCCTGGCAACTTTTCCAGCTCTTATTATGAAGAAAATGCAAGATTCAGTGACCTGTTCAGATGGACAACTTTGGCACTCCAAATCGAGTACAGGCTTTCCAGATAAGCTCCAAAACACGGTGGGAAAAAGACACAGTAAATAAGATTTGCAGTAAATTAAAACCTCAGTCAAAACTTTATCCACTGATTATTTGTATATAAATAATAATAGTCACTGCTCACAAATAGTCCACATTTTTAGACTTTCTCAAAGCTGATGACGACCACTTACTTTGTTTTGTTGTGGGACCACAGACTGATTTAAAAATAGATGAGGCCACTGTGACGCCACCTACTGCCTTGTGAAGAAAAATACATTTTCTGGGGGACTAGAAGCTAACATTCTGAAGACAGAATTTTATTTTTTTTTACATTTTACAAAAATTCTGACAGTTTTGAGACATATTTGCAGACACTGAAGTTAAGATAGCAAACAGAAATATTGGAATGTCTCCTTGTTCGTGATTTTTTTTCTTTTGTGTTTTGTTTGTTTTTGTGCACAGCCAGGATTGTTGGTTGGCATCTCTG